GAGGGTTTTCGAAGTTACCCGAAGATCCCTGAATTTTTCAAGGCCTGTTTTAATTTAAAACAACTCCGAAGATTTTCCGAGTGGTGTACGAGTTGTGCATATACTCCGAAGTTACCCGAGGATCCGGCCTGAGGAAGAATCGAACCCCCATGAACATGCTCGAAAATCTATCAGGAATTAAGAAAACGCTGAAGAATTCGCCTCAACAATCTCTTTTACTGTTCTATTTTTATGTAAGTTACACGGAAAAGTGTATGGATTTTGGGTAAATTTAAATCAGTTTGTTTCCGGTTGGACAGTTAACCACCCCGATACCCCATTCCTTTTTCCTCGTCCGAAGAACAAAGACCGATCGAAAACGCAGGCCTTGTGAGGACTTGGCATGCAGTAAATAAAATACGTTAATGACGCCATTTTCTAAAAAGTCATTGCGAAATAGTTTTTTTGAGTTAAAACTTGAGTTAAAACTCGCCTCCCGGTTAGCTCAATAGATAGAGCGCTGGAGGTCGAGGGTTCGAGCCCCGGCCGGACCAACACTCAGGGTCTTGAAATAATTGAGAAGAATATGCTACCTTTCCATAACATCAAGAAATGGTTAGATATTCTAGTCTTCTCGGATAGGGATGAATAAATGGAGGTCCCGTCTCCTGCAGGGTTAGTGGGAGGAGACGTTAATTTCCCACGCACGAGATTTCTGTGTGATGGATGTCCGTCCCTGGGGTGGGACGGGAGGGTAACAGGATACCCGTTGATACCAGTGTTTACTACACTGAAGGGCCTATCCTGTATAAATATAGATGTCTACTCTACTATATAAATATAGACGTCTACTCTACTGTATAAATATAGATGTCTACTCTACTGTATAAATATAGATGTCTACTCTACTCTACTAATAACTTGAGTTTTGAATAAAAATAGGGCGACAAAAATGTATTTAAATTTTATCTAGAGTCCACTAACCTAACAACTGAGGTCGACCCATTGTCTTAGCTTGTAGTTGTCTTACCGAACTTATTTCCAGCTATTTCGACAAACTTCATCACCATACATTAAAGATATCATCACTGCTAGAACGCGTATTTAAATTTTATCTAGAGTCCACTAACCTAACAACCGAGGTCGACCTATTGTCTTAGCTTGTAGTTGTCTTACCGAACTTATTTCCAGCTATTTCGACAAACTTCACCACCATACATTAAAGACAGCCAAAACGCACTTAAAAGTTTACGCGATTTTAATTTCCTTGGCGAAGACAAACCTCTTTGCTTTTTTTTTAGACATCAAAGTTTTAATTGAAGGCAACCGTCTATGGGCTACTCAGTGTGTACCACAAACCTTCAGACTCACATAGTTACTTGCTGTATACATCTTCGCACCATCACATGTCAAGAACTCCATTGCTTCTTCTTCTTTGGCTTTTTTTAGATATCAAAGTCTGAATTGAAGGCAACAGTCAATGCAATAGTCAGTGTGTACTACTATAAAAAGGTGTGTTGGATGCCAGTCACGCCTTCACAAAAGTTTTGACAACGCTGTGCTTCATTAAAATATATCCTTTCTTCGAGGGAAAAGTAATTTTTTGATACACCTACGCTTCTTTGAAAGTATTTTGAGTGTTTTTATTAATTGAGGACCAAAATATTAATTCTCAGGTGCGATTTCTGCCATAGTAATATTTACCAAATGGTAAACACCACAGCATACAATATTTGTTTTATAACATAATATTCATACATTGTAGCGAAAGAGTTTTCTATAATTTAACAAATATTACGTGACCAGAAAAAACAAGCGCACACGGAAAACTAGTGTTTGCTTTTGCTCACGTCAGCAGCGCACACCCATGGGAAACTAGCGGACGCTGAATTGAGCAATCAGGGTGCGCGCTTTCCTTTGGTTGTGTTTTAATTCTTTTTTGCAGCTCTTTTCTTGAATTGCTCCCAAAGTGTACTTTCTGAAGGGTCCATGTTTTCATTTGGCTATCATTGTTTGCCACAGAACTCGGCAGCGCGTATTAATTTCTTGACTTGTGGAAGCGATACTAATGCGAGGGCAGCACTTAATTAACAGGCCGAAGTTATTTTGACTATAAACTCAGACTCTCATTGTTACTACAGCGGTACTGTAGTAAGCGATTAGTAGGGTCAGCAGTTGTCACTAATTTGCCAGGTGACCTCTCAACCACGAGGGTGGCCATGTTTTTGTCTTATCACAAGTGTGATGCGTAGTTTTCCATCAATTTAACCCTCTGGCAATTTACATTTTTAAAGGGGAACTTAAGTTGTTATCTGAAGATTAAAGTGCTGATCTTGCGAATAACAACGGTAGTATTTTTATCGTCGAAACTCGTTCGGATGCAAGTGCAACGTTCGGGGTCAGCCACACTCATAGTTACTTGTTGTATTCATCTTCGCATCCATAACATGTCGACAACCAGGTGAAAAGTTATCTTGTGTAAACCATATTGTTTAACTTTTCGAGTAGAACTAGCCCCAACTGGCATCCTGTGAACATTTAAAAGCCTGCCTAACTCTCCTTTGGACAAGGACGTGAACGGAATTGGAATTCTCCGTTTCATTCAATCAGTTGTCACTTTAATAGGTCTTAATAATATTAAGGGCTGATAGTTTCTAAAGAAACTGTTTGGCGCTGCGTCGGTGGGGGTAGCGAAATAATTTGAATATAACCGTAACGGTGGCCAATTTACCATTTCAACTTTGTTGATATATTCTTAATAATAATAGGTCTTTATCAAGCAAAAATACATGCTAAAACAAGAAAATTTACATAAAAATAATCACAAGTCTATCAACATTACATAATATAAGACATTACATTAGATAGCTACTCTATATTTGAAAGAGCCTATTAAAAAAGCTATTTTTAAAACGCTGGGTATTAACCCTTGGGAGTTGACTACCAGGAACTCGGAGGCGCGCTGAGCTTTCTTTCGTGTTAGGGACAGAAGGGTACAGAGGGTGACCGGGCATACTGGAGATCTTCTTGAATAGTGTGCGATCAACTTCTTCCAATACACTTTAGTATAATTTCAGAGCTGAGCAAAGAGTTTCCAGCAATCTGATTGGTCGAGCGGTTCCTTATATGACGCTATATAAATCGCTCCACGCGGTTTTGATTTAACGATTATTCGCCGAAGGCGAGGTGAATATCTTCGAATAATCCCCGAGACGAAGTCGAGGGGATTATTCGACAATATTCACCGAACCTGAGGCGAATAATTGTTTTAGTATAATTTCAGAGCTGAGCAGCAGAGAAATTTCTAAAATCCTAACATTCTAGTAACATTTATTAACACTTTATTTAAACATTTATATAAACCGCGTGGAGCGGTTTATATAGCGTCATATAAGGAACCGCTCGACCGATCAGAATGCTGGAAACTCTTTGCTTAGCTCCTCTGAAATTATACTAAAAAATGTTAAAATAAAATGTTAAAAAATGTTACTAAAATGTTATGATTTTAGAAACTTCTCTGTTGCTCAGCTCTGAAATTATACTAAAACAATTATTCACCGAACCTGAGGGGAGTAATTGTTAAATCATGATATTAATTTGGTACGAAATATGTCTGCGTTTAAAGCAGCGCTGTAGAAAATTATGGACTGTTGTTAATTCAGGTATTGAGGAGGGGTTTTGGGTAAACCATATGTTAGTTTAGGTAAAACAATTGATCTAAGAACGTAATCTACATCTGTTTGTTGATATCCCTCTTTGCGCAAACATCTCATCACATAAAGACACTTAAAATTTGTTATATAGGCGCCATACTTGGTGTCTGTTTTATTTGACGTGAAGAACAATGGAAGCAAAGAAATGATATTATGATAATGACATTATATACATTTTTTTTGATGGTGGTGGAAAATAATATTCTTGAGAGATTATTGATCGACCCGAGAGTGAATTGGTTTCAATTGAATAAATACATAGCTAACGTACATGAAACGTAGATTCCGTTCAAGGATGACCTTTTCGCGTAATTCGTTTTCCGAGATTGATACTCAGGAATAACCGTTCAAGTTGCGATAAATATCCTTTATCACAGTGACAAGTTATTCCGCGAGTTCATGAAAAAATGCAGTTAGTTCCTGTTGTTAACTCTCGCTCCTATATTCATTTGATAAAAGTTAGCTTGGAGTAGGTTTCAAGGGTTATAAGAAATGTACAGGGCAATTACATTATTATTTATGGCTGAAATTCAAATTATTTTTTTAATTTTTCTTTTGGATAATTCCTCTGGCCTTTTTGAGCTGTTATCTACTAAACACAACAGCTGACGCCGTATCTTTGTCGTATCAATATTCGAAAAAATTGTTAGACCATTCAGTGAAGATTTGAAATACCAACTATGCTCTATTTTGTAGTTTAAAAATCCAGAGATGTCGTTCTGGTATTTGAAATTCTGAATATTGAATTCTGAGTCAATAAAACCGCCAATACTGCATTTTCTTGGAAACAAAGAGTTTTTCCATTAAAAATTATGTTAAGTACAGTCCGGTCGGTATAAAAGGTAGGTATATTTCAACGCACCTCTGATTGGTTTGGAGATTTAGCCTGTATGACACCAGCCATTGTGTATACTGAGATAATAAATTGTCTGTAGTGTTTATTGTAAAAAGGTTTTACTCTGACAAATGAAGCATTGACGCTTGTTGAATTGCGTAGCTAATAAATCAATTTCTCCCGATCTTCCGAGATAAAGGACGTTTTTATATGTGCATTGAACTCCTAATTCCTGAGTAAGGACCTACTTGGACTCTACGGCCGGTAAGGTGCAATTCAAAATCACATTTAAGTTTGTGGTATATTTTCGACGTCTGTCAACAATCAAGTATTTAAAGAGGTTTGTTCTAACAAATTAAAGAAAGGAAATTACGAATTGAAATTACAAATTTTTTCAGGAGCATGAATTTCATGCCCTTTGAGAATTGACTTTTCGGTGAAAATTGCGGTCGAAAAGAGAAGGTAAATCCATGATGTTGACCGATTCAGCCCAGACTGCGATCGCTGCGGTGTTTTCTTTGCTGGTAATCACAGATATCGTGGGGAACACTCTGGTTTGCGTTGTTATAATTAAAAACCAAGACATGAGGTGAGTCAATAATAAGAAGAAGTAGTCGATTTTCTCTCTCCTTTGAACTTACAGCAATTTTCTTTGAGATACGTTTTCTGCAATCAATCGAATTTTCTAGAGACCAAACTGTGTTTCATTACCTTTGGTAGATCCAGTTACATGTGTTTCAGAAAACCGTAGCAACGAGCAAGAAAGAAAAAACACTTCAAACAATAACATCTATGTCTTACGTTAAAGATATATTTACTTTGAGTTAAACGTAAAAAGGTCGTCTTCTCAGCATTTTTGTTTCATTTCTTTATGTCTATCAAGTTTCGAAGTAGGGACTTGCCGTTGGGGAAAGCGGTGATATCCAATAAACGTTTATCTTTTTTATCTATAAGTTTATCAATCACCTCTTAAGGAACGAATATATATCAGTATTTCCTGTGAAAGGAGCATTAGTTCTAAGCAGTTAAAACCAACTGTGATGTAGTTTCTCGTTTGAAAAGATGAAAGATATGTTGTGTTCCGTTGCTTTATTTTGTGATTTGTAAATATAAATTTGAGACATGTGAACTTAAGAGACGGAGAGGAACTTGAAAAAACTCACGTTTATTTCTAGAACACCAATGAACTATTTGCTGGTCAATTTGGCTTTTGCTGATATCCTGGTAGCGCTGTTTATAGCACCACAGTTCGTTCTGATCCACACTTTTCAGCATCCTGACGGGATTTTAGGAAGATTCCTGTGTAAATTCTTGACCGGTGGAAACTTCATGTGGACAGGAGCGACTGCATCTGCTTTTAGTCTGGTCGTTATCGCATTTGAGCGTTACTTCGCTGTAATGCACCCTTACAATAATACAGGGAAACTGACGCATAGAAAACTTAAAGTGAGTTTGCTGTTGCTTTTTTAAGATACCCCTAAATTGAGATTGTAGTTCACTTCAATGCAGGTTAGCACCTAAACGAAAAAATTCATTTTCTGTACAAAGTGAAAAGGCAAATCAAAATCCATTTACCGTCTTTGTACCAAGTACTCAAATAAACATAACAAAAGAGCTACCCAAGAAAGCTTATGACAAACATGAAAAGAATCTAAATCTTCTCTATCACTTTCTCAGCTAATGACGTAACGTACGACGCAGGTACCAAGGTTTATAAATCCTTCAATTGTTAAATTTGTCGCCCTTCTTTCTGCACTAATGCCATCGATTTTGTTATTTTTATCTTGCAACTACGTTTACGACTAAATTTCACCGGATAAAGAACTTTTCACGGAATCACTGATGTTACGGGACTCTGTTTCATCTATTGTTTGTTTGATTAGTGGGCCAGAGTCAATCATTCACAGTGCGACGTTTCTCACGCCGAAAAAAGAAATCTGATATTCTCCATTTGTGGCTCTCTTGTCCTGAAAAACAGGAACAGATCCAGAAATATTTTAAAGGAAGGTGGAGATCCAAGGTTTGTTTCTGAAAAAAGCATTTTCTTATTTGACGGCAGAGCCTAATTAAGCTGAGAAATATTTCAAGATGAGTACGTTTTAGATAACTCTTACCAAGCAGTAGCAAGCCATCTTGTTGCAAGAGTTTTGGCTTCAGACAAGTAGTAAAAAGTTCTCAAGTCACCGGATCTGCCACTATAAAACTTTTATTAAAGCTTGGTTTGGAAATCTTTCTACAGATCATCATTCCTGTTCTTTGGATTTCTGCACTGATTTTAAACACGCCTCTCTTTTTGACGTCCTACTTCGATAAAGAAAACGAATTTTGTATGGAATACTGGCCTAAGAAATGGATGCCCAAGGCTTTTAGTGTAGCTTGGTTTGTTCTACTTGGAGTTCTGCCGATGTTGGTAATGACTGGCCTGTACTCTAGAGTTGTCTACGCTCTGTGGATCAAAAACGAAGAGCGTGTTAATGGAACTCAACAGGTAACTAAAATACAACGTATCGAATTGATATCGTATGCCTGCCAAATTTCAAGCTCTTCCCTGAGAGCTAGAGTGTGTGAGAAAATTTTTAAGCAAAATGTTTTCTTTTTTTGTTTTTGCCGGCGTATTAGATTCAGTAGACCAGGATGAAATATAATATGATTTAAATGGCGGTGCTTATTTGATGGGGGAACTCAAGAACAACTGATTACTCAGCGAAATTAGTGGAACACTAACTCTAAACATGCTTCAGTTTAAAGCTGTTTACATAAACTATTTGTCTGTAATAGTTAACAATAGCTTGAAATTGCCACCGATTTTTAAGAAGTCTCGAGAGTAAACCCGAAAACAAATTTCACGATGGAGAGGAGATCTGGCGCCTATAGAGGTGGTGGTATACATCGTCATGAAACCGTTATAAATTCCTAAGTTTCCTGGGAGGAGGGGGGAGGGTAACTGAGGAGGACCGGCTTTAGCGAATTAGCTTCCGCAGAAACTCTTCAAATTGACACTGGACACTATTATCAAAATCAAAGCATCTTTTAACTGAAAATATCTTTTGCCAATTTTACGCGTTAGGGTGTCATGAGAGTGCGAAAGCGCGTCACAAAAATGGTTGTTGCAGTTAGTATCATTTACGGACTCTGTTGGACTCCAGACCTCGTCATCTACGCCATGATACACTTCGGCTCCAAGCACAATCTTGGTGACGCAGCTGACGTCATATCCATTGTTTTGGTCGTGTGCAACTCGACCGTTAATCCCTTCATTTACGCCTATGTGAACAGTCGTTTCAGGAGACATATCAAAGCTCTGTTGTGTTGCTATGGTAGTGGTACTGACAGTAACAGAGTTCATGCAATGGGAAGAGGCAATGAAACCTCGAGGACGAATTCAGGGATTAATGCCTCGACCATCCAGGGAGAAATTCAGTCTTTGAGCCATCGCGATGTTACTCTGTTCCATGTGTCAAGAACAGATAACTAGCGGGGATCTGACAAGAAAAAAATTATGTTAGATTGAAAATTTAATCAAAGGCCTTCCTCGGGGCAGTCTTGTCAATTGAAAATTTACTTGGGATCAGCCGTAAAATTATCTGAGATTTTGAAAAGATTATATGTTAGGGCATATGGATTTCCTCAAAATCTTCTAGGATAAACCTACAATGAACACCAAACCAACTCCGTGTCCAAGGACATAGACCAAGAGCTGGAGATATACAAGGTTAAATGACGATGATGCGGAAAAATAATATGATAGCTGAAAACTAGTCTCCCATTCACGTGCACGTCTTAACTAGAAAAAAAAAACAAAAAAAAAAAACCAACGATGTAGCTAGCACAGGACGAAATTTCAACAATCCGTAAACGGAAACGCGAAAGAAATTTGTGAAACCGTTGCGGAAACACGACGGGTAACATGTGTTTCCGCTGCCGGTTTGGCGACGTTTACTCGTGTTTCCGTTGCTGCGGTAACAACAGAACCGAACCACTTTTTTACGTGTTGTCAGAGGGAGACCGAAGACGACCATGCACAGGTGCAGTTGCTCATTCGAGGAGAAAGCAAGTGATCAATGGCACATTTCGCTGGAATCATCCAACGCTGTACCATTGGATATAGTTAACCAATTTAATACTTCGGTCTCTCTGGAATCCCTCCAAAGTTTTTTCCTTCATAACTAGCTCAGCAACATGGTTTAGCCCATTAAACGTGATGTATAGATCCCTAAATTTATTCCCATTCACAATTCTCTGTTGCAATGACGATTTGTTATTCTTAAGTGCTTTTTTTACCGAGGATATTAGTTCTTCATCGGTGGGCTCAGAGAAATCCGCCATATTGGATTTACGTAAAGTTTGCCCTAGGTTACGCGCGGCCAATGACCCAATTGGCCAACATGAATGACCAAGTAATCTCAAAATAACCCAATCAGTGCAAATGACCCAACAAGTTCCAGTTATCCAGTCCCCTTAAGACACCCATGGCCAACCGCCTCAAATGACTCAGTTGGCCAAGTTGTCCAAGCTATCTCAAATTATTCAACCAGGTCCTGCGACAAAATTGCCTGAATTGCCTATATTTTAATTTCCCCAGCCTAACTGGCAAAGAACCTGTGCGCTCATTTGGGGATTCTTACTAGCTAACTGCGCGTTAACGTTAAAGGTCCGTCAAATTCACCGCGCAAAAATTCTTAAAGAAACTTAATGAGTTTACGAAGAAGCAACCAAATTACTCGGTTATTCACTGATGAGAGATCAGACACAAATATTTCACATATTTTGGTAGTTCTTTCAATATTGATCCAGGAACTATATAATAACCATCAATATCAACGCCCTTTACGCGCCTTTATTGATTACAGAGTCTGCGCAGTCGCTAGCGCTGTGTTAGCGCTTGCTTACGGAACAAGAATATATACATAGAGAAGAGTAAAGTGGCGATTTTATGCTACGTTTTAAAATCAATTTTAATACTTTGCAAGTCGTCGTATCCGAAGCCGAAGTTACTAATTCATATACAAACTTTCTCACGATAGTTGTTCATCGATATCTAAGTGGAGTTTCCTGCCTTATAAATTTCGTCAAAATAGTAAAAATCATGCCCAAAATCATGATCGGTTTGTTTTCCGTCATGACAAAGATTCAACAAGGATATTAAGAATCCGTTTGCAGAAACAACGGAAACAAACGGCAGCGGAAACGTCCACGCTTAAATATGAAGGAAACATTGCTTGGCATTTCCGTGTCGGAAACATAACGGAAACTTGATAGAATCGCCAAGACTTGGTACAACACGTTTCCGCAAGACGTAAATGTAGCGGAAATATGAAGCTCTATGTTCCCGTCACATTTACGAAATGCGGAAACGTGGGATTTCGTCCTGTGGCTTGTGCTGATGCTTTGTTTCAAAAACGAAGTTGTCTTCGGCAAAGTCTCCATTACCCCCTGTGCTCTCTTCAAATATGGCCCCCTGTATCGAATTTATGAAAACCGCATATTACTCGGTCAACTTCAATCGCGATTCTCAAGGTAAAAAAAACACATAAAATAAACAAAACGATTATAAAACTGGATTTACTTTAATAAACACAGTACCAAAATAATTTTTGTTTTTACTTTACAACGCACTCATGGAAAATTGGTTGGGAGGGCTTAGGTGAAGAGAAAATTGGAAAATGCTGCGGGAGAAAAGGAACAGTACCCTGAATTCACTCCTTTTTCTTTATTTATTCGGTAAAACATCTCGTCATGCAGAGGCAACAAAGGAGGGCATGCTTGTGAGTCGATTATAAACGACTATCGAAGTTGTAAGTATGATCAACCCCCTAGCTGAAACTACGATTCGAAAAAATATGCCATAAGGACCGTGGGTGTATTAAGAATTTAAAGCTTCTGTCTAGTTTTTTTGCAAAAGATGTGCCTGACCAATAGATTTGGCAGAGAAAAATCCATCTCAATCTCTACAGGATGTGGATTATCTTTTTTTCGTTGACGCATAAGGACTACCATTCGACTTAAAGTATAAGTTGACGGATATACAAGTCGAACGTGAGATCGAAAAGCAAACTTTGATTATTTGAGTAATAATGTAGCAAATGCAATACATTTGCTCTCTGTATCCTTTCGTTTACTTTTTTTTAATGAAATTTGTAAAAACATCTAATAATGAAAGTGCAGAAGGCTAATACACTTTGGAAACATACGTATCCTGATTAGCTGTTATTAGTTGTTACCCTGTCGAATAGAGCAACACAGATCGTAGCGATCGTCGTATACATTTATTCCAAGGTAAGTGCTTCAACATTGAAAATTATTTAGATCTTACAATGGCTTAGTGTAGACGTCGTTATTAATTATACTGCAATTTTTTTGTGAACTAAGGAGTTGAAATGAACATGTTTTATTTCACTGACACTTCTCTCAATATCATGGCAGTCGTCGCCTTACGCTGTTGGCTGATCAGCTCTACTTTGTCATGTTAATTGTAATCATCAAAGTGATAAAAACCTTTCGTATCGGCAAAAATTCCAACTTTCATGTTTAGATTTTTTGTGATGAAAATCCAAGACTAATGCCAAGATTAACCAAGCTGAATGAAAGTATAAAACCATACTGTTGTATGATCCAAAAACTGGATTTCACTCGGCTTAAAAGGACCTAAAGAGGCTACAGAAACATTGCTCGTGCACAAACGTTGGCGGAGTCCATACGACAAAAATTTTGTGGAATATTGACCAAATATAAACGCTGGACAAAAAGTTAATTTTGAAAAAGAATAGTATATTAACAAAAAGGTTGTTCAATAAACTTCGCACCTGGTTGATTTGAATGAGTGTAAGAAAAAGCAAATAAAAGGTACTCCTGGTTTGGTTTTCCATAGGCAAAGTTTTGGAAAACAGATATTTAGGCAAAGGACAATGTTGCCATGTACTTACTCAGTTTCCTGTAAGCCACCTGAGGACTCATAATAAAAATAGTAGGGTCGAAAGCTGTTGTTAAAAGATCGAGAAAAACAAAACAAAACAAACTAAAGAAAAAAGAAAAAATAGAAAACAAGCAAACAAAGAAACCAGAAAAAACAGGTATCTCAGGAAAAAAAAACTGTCCTCTCTCTCACTCGTTTCCTTTGCATTAAGATTCTGAAGTAGTGCCGATATGGATTGGCTCAGAAAAATCGATTGTTTTTGGTGGCTACTTGAAATATTTCCCTTGTTCCCGTTTTAATAGCTTGAATCTTTTTGATGTAGTTTTGTTGCGCACGATCGCAATACCCTCAAAGGTTTTTGTTTATGTATCCATCATCTAAATGCCAGAAACTGTATATCTACATCCGTACAGGGAGTATAAATTGTAAAGGCTTCTCTCGCTATGGCCACTTACACGGACTCTGAATCAGCACAGATAGCTGTAACTGCTGTTCATTCCTTGCTGGCACTTCTGGATATTGCTGGAAACTCTCTCGTCTGCGCCGTCATACTGAAAAATAAAGACATGAGGTATTAAATGACTTCCGAACTTCCGAACTTCCGAACTTGATGAAAGAAACTAAAGTCCTTTTCACTCCTTAAATGATCTTGCATTAGCTAGACTTCAAAAGGAACTTAAGATAGCACGAGCTCTTCTGGTAGATATCATCGTGTCTTATATATGAGTCTTTACATATCCTGCCATACCTAGTATACACGAATATACAGGTTTAGATGATTATCTTTGCAAGGACGAATTGATTTTCCTAGTCTTTATGATGAAGATGTAATACAAAATTCTATATGATCAGCAAAATTCAAACCTTAATTAACAATAACGGTAAAATTTATAGCATTCGATTTGTAGCGTTTACGTTCATCAGAGATGTGCAATGATTGGACCTTTGCAGAGGTGTTAGACATAAATGAAATGAAAGACGTTCTACTCATGTAATGATCGTTGCAGAAGGAAAAGGTCCAAATAATCACAATAATTCGACTCGCAAAACACCCCTCTACATTTTCACTAACACTCGCGTGTATTCAACAGGACTCCGGTAAACTACCTTCTGCTAAACCTTGCTGTAGCAGATATGACTGTGGCGACGTTTTTCATCCCGCAGTATATTTTTATCCACGCCTTCACTCACCCAGATGGGGTCATCGGTGACGTTTTCTGCAGACTTCTAACTGGAGGGAACTTGGCATGGGTCGGAGGAGCTTGTTCTGTTTTCACTCTGGTTGCCATCGCAATTGAACGCTTCTATGCTGTGATGTATCTTCACGGAAATAAAGGGAAACTAACGACTAAAAAAATCAAGGTTTGGTGCTTAGCTTCGTACTCATTTTAGAGATTTTTTGAGACTTGAAAAAAACTGTTTTACTTAGATGTTTTTCAATCTGTATTTCTATCCAAAAAAAAAAGACAAAATCACTCGACAAAGAAAATAAAAACATTTCAAACAGCCAAATGCCCCGAACGAGCTACAACAGTTGACCTTGTCCAAAGGAGCGTTATTTGACCAGGACCGGTCGAATTGATTCCAGGTCCATCACGATTCACCCGTGCACACAATGTAATAAAGACAAGCCTAGCTATTAGAAGCTCCAGCGAAATTTATACACTTTTTCGAACAAGGACGTAAATGTTAAACATTAAAGGGCCCTACTGAGCCACGCCCATGTTTATGTTTACATACGGGAATTCTGACGTTGCACGTCCAAAAATTTACCTGCAAATTTCTTACGTAATAGTTCAACTAACTCTCAATGATAAATTTTCACTCCAAAGAAGGCTAGTTGCACCGATGCAATGCAATCTGAAAACGACAGTAAAAATGTCAGAATATCGATGGCATCGAAAATGGCCGATTTCACTGCTTCCGCGCGCAATGCATTAAGGGTGACTAGGGCCCTTTAACCACTTTATACGTTTTTCATTCAGGTGCTCATACCTTGCTCATGGATTTTTGGAGTGATCATGAATACCCCTGAGTTTCTAGTCAAGAACTTTGAAAAACAGCAGGATTTCTGCACTCAGTTCTGGCCTGCAGAATGGATGGGAAAAGCTTTTGCTATAACTTGGTGGCTTGTTCTTGGAGTTTCCCCAGTGTCAATTATGCTTGTATTATACTCCAGAGTGGTGTACACCTTGTGGTTCAAACAAAATGCTTCTACTGAACAAACCAACATGCAACAGGTTGGTGAAGTAGTTTTTACACTTCTTTGAAGAAATTGTTTTGTTGGAGAAATCAATATGATTAAGAACTGCTGTTTCTCTTTTGGCTTCTTTAATTTTTCCTGAAACAGAATGCATTAAAGAAGCTCAACGTTACCTTGCAATTATTCACTCTATGCAGAGTTGAAACCCATATTCCTATCTTTTATTTAAAGTGCGCTTTAAATGATTTATGAAAGTACAAATAACATAATTCCTAGGTGTTTGGGTCCGTCATAACCAAAATCGAGAGTGGTTTTTTACAATCCTAATGCGATTACTCATTGGAAATACTGGTTAGGACTGAACTTGACTGACCTCTTCATTTAGGGAGTGATGAAGGTTCGCAAACGAGTGACTTTGATGGTGATTCTTGTCAGTGTTATTTTCGGAGTCAGTTGGCTAACAGACTCGACCACCTTCTTCCTGGGTTATTTTAGTCCCAGTCACTCCTTTGGCGACGTAACATATGCCACTGCGTCTACAATGATTATGTTCAATTCTGCCATCAATCCTTTCATATACGCGCTGGTTAACCAGAGATTTAGGGAAAAGATTAAAGGCACCATCTGTTGCTCCTGCCGCCCTAATAACAGGATTCATGCTGAAACGGAACCCCAGAAGCTGGGCGGAACCAACAGCGCGACTAACCCAACCCACACTACATGGGAAAACCCCAACGAGTAAAAACACAAGGGACAAGTATCGTAACGAAGTCCTCTAATCTTAATAACCACATCATCACGGGAGATGAGAAACTGTAAGGTTGTTATTCCATAATATATTTTGTGGGACATGCGTAGGCTCCTAATGAAGAATGCTTCATAAATAGCGCTGCATAAATAGCGCTGCATAAATAGAGCTGCATAAATAGCGCTCTCTGCTGCGAGTATCGTGCATCATACGTATCTAATTCCGCAGTTCAAAATGTATGAACCTCATATATTCATTGTATCGATCTCAAGAATACTTAGTCTACTAGGAGCTTTTTAATCCCCTCTTCATCCAAGTTTTCAGATTATGCTGTTTCTTCAACGACATCTGTATGTATTTATATAGCAGACTGTCTGCTCATTTAATAGACTATAACACATAGCTCGAAACAGGACTAACCGTGTTTGAGTGAATTGTTGTTGTGGTGTTGTAGAAACTTAGTGTCCTGAGATACATTGTATAGTGTTGTAGAGCATTTTCAAGGATTGATATTTCGAGTATTTTTAGGTTTATCTTTTGTTTTATTAAGTCTCGCCTTTTTGCGTCTGCGTTTACGTTGTTATTTTGATGAATCTATAGTTTTGATCATTTATTTTTAGTGTGTGCTTGAACTTGGCTCAGTTCTTACCGTGCTAGACATTTTAATCGCTTGTTATGGTTAGGATAACTAGTTTGAGTTTTACACACACTGAATATCCTGTTTTGGAAATTCCCACGGTCAGCTAACCCAAACATGTCTGTGATTTTTACATTAAATGAGAAGGCACTCCTCGCTGAAGTTAGAAGAAGAAGAGAAATAGCTGTGGTAGTAGAAGGTAGTAGCAACAATAGAAGAGAAGAGAATAAAAGAAGAAAAGTATTGAGTCTTGATACCTCTTGTTAATTCGCCAAGCGAGTGGTAAATGACCCCAACAACAATAGTTTCCTTGCAAGTAAAACGTCAAGTAATTCGACATTTTTTAACTCATTAGAATGTATTTAACTCACATGAGGATTCGTCTATATATATATATGCTGATGAAGGTCTCGGACCGAAACGTTTTTATTTCATTTTTTAGATTTTTTATTGAGTATATGTCTTCCTTCGCTCGAAGTTGTCCGTCCCCGTGTGCCACATTTCTTCTCCTATTATTTATCGAGGTTCGGACTGCGAATCCTTTTCGATCCTTTTGGCGCAGCGTCTCTGTTGGCTCGAAGCATGTTATCTTGTTATATATTTGTTGTTTGTTGTTCTTTGGTTTGGCTGTCGTGACCGACAGATCCAGGTTTTGAAGCATACAACAGTCATGTTTATTCTCCTTTGCAGTCGTGAGCTCTGAGATGACTCACTAGTCCAATATAACAGTGGCAAACTTTTGGACACCTGTGGCATTGATAGCAACCGCTCCATGTACCAAGAGTAAAATTAATTGAACTATATCTTCTACCGCATTTAGATGGGTGGCCAGCTGATCACGGCGAACCAGCAGGCTATTACTTTTTAAGGACAAGCTTTTTTAAGTCACTTTTTCTAGACCCTTTCCCAGAGAGGGGGGAGTAGGCTACCCGTAAAAACGACTGCTCCGTCACCACAGTAGGACACGAAGCTGTAGTTGTCCATGATCTGCAACAAAACGGCCATCACACTGAGGTAACGTGCAGGTACTTGACTGAGGGCTTCCAGCGACACCCTTCGCCTGCCCCCGTCGCCAATCCCTGTCGCCGTAGGACTTAGGAGAGATAGTGTTGCTTCAAAACAAACTGCAAATCATATAGCAGAGGTGTGTTGTGCAGGCCCACCAAAGCTCACTCCATCCTACCAGCTCACACACCGGGTCCCAGTAGGTGAGCACGCGCTGTCCACCAGTAGAATCGCAGCTGGTTGACCTCAACATTTCATGGCCAAAGAAGAGCTCTTGGCTGGTCTGGTTACCAGCTGATACCAGTTGTGCATGTTGGCCGTTGGCTCGTAAGAAGCTCATCCGCCCTTTAACAGGTTTTGTTTTTAGTCCTGCAGGGTGACATACCACCCACCACACCAGTGTACACTAGTGGGGGAGACCAGTTTAGACGCCGACCACACGTCCATGAATTATTATTATTATTATTATTATTATTATTATGGATGCTGAAACTTGTTGAGAACTGTCAGGTAATTTGTGAACTCACTGAGACAAAAGTGTTCGTTGAATAATCTTTCGACAGTTGTTTCTTTCAAGTAACGTCTACTTCAAGAAAATTTAGCAACTAGTCTCTTCTTGACTGACAAGTTTCTCCTCGTCAGTATATGGTCAAGGAGTCTTGCTAACATTCCTGGCAACAAAGCTAATGAGGAAAAATTGAGGTTTATTTCCTTTGATTGCATTTCCTTCCTAAAATGAGAGTAAAGAAGAAGGAGAAGCAATAAAAAAGTGAAATAGTTTTAACAACCTTGAGATTTCAATTCAGGGTTGAGAGAGAAGACAGGAGACAGGAGTGAAATCAATTAAGAAAAAAACGGGAAGAAGAGCAAAGAGAAAAAAAACATATTTCTATCATTGTCAACTCGAGGATACCACTTTGCTGCATATTCGTTCATCATATTTATACTAACAGAATCATCTATCGTATTCGGCATGATCGCCACAAGGCACAATTTGGGTCTGTGACTAAACATTTTTATAGCACACCACCAATACAATTAGGCTCAGTTTATGTGTCATTTTAAAACAAAAATATATCAGTTATACTGCTTTGACAACTCTGGATAACTACTGATTTACCTGCGAAGGAAATTAATGAAGGTAAGTAATGAAGATCTGGACTTTTCTTGCCATCTAGAAAAGGAAGAAAAGGAAAAACATCGACTGCATGCGCTTTTGAAAACAATTTTTGTTTGAAATTATTAAAAAACCAGAAAATGTCAAGAAGAAGAATATTGAACCCCACGAAGGAACATGTCAGTTGCAGTATTTGTGAATTGAAACACCTGTCCTAACATGGGAAGCCAAAAGAAAAGCTTCGGAGAAAGTTTTTTATATATCAATAATAATTTGCTTGTGCATGCTTTCTACTAAAACCAGAATAATTTAATCATTTGACAGGGCAATGAGTTACTAATAGAGAAAGAAAAGCAAAGAAAAGGCCTGCATCACGCATAACCAGCAGTGTTGGATCGTATTTCAGTTTTCACTAATGTGTTATGATACCTGATTATGGAAATTATTCGCTAGAAACCTCCAGCTAACCCTGAGGCGGAGACACTATTCAATTAGTTTATTGCATATAACCTTGCTTGTACTGAAGAAACAGGACGACCGTTTACCTTAGATGTTTCTACATGTACTCCCCTGATGCAAGGTATTGCAACCTCTTTCTAAATGTAAATCGAAATCTACATCCGAGTGAAAACGTCGTTTATTCGCAGAAGCTAAGGAATCTCTTTGCTTTAGCCGAGAAAGATTACAAAAGCCTGTGCTAGGGATATTTAAATTATTAATTCCTTGCCAGGTGAAATAGAAAAGATGCATTGTAAAATTGAGTGAGATTGGCATCCTTGTTTACCCAAGTGGCGAGCAATAATGCAAACTGAACGTTTGCTCTTTGTCTTTCAAGCTATTAAATATTAGCCTCTGGAAATATTTTCCTTTATTTCTGTTGGATCTTCATAATGAATATAAGTCCTCAAGGTTGGCTGATGGTTTATAAACTCTACGGTGAGTTCGCTGTCGAGACAAACGTTATGCTATTTAGTGAAGCGTGCTCGTCTAAAATCGACACCTTACCTGTGTGTTAAAAAGAAGCTGTGTTTAACTTTTCATTGTCACATCATAGTATGTTGCCATAGATTTTAATTAGGTAATACCCATGCTCCGAATTGTTGTTCGGTCTAGTACATACGTGCCTGGCAATATTATTGTCTGAGTTTTATCCACATTGTTCACATATCTACATTAACTG